ACATTCATGGAGGCACATCATTATAAATTTTAGAATGCTGGGGGCAAAAAGATGAATGTAAAACTTTCTGATCAGGAAATCTGTCTCCTATAAGATAATATTCTTAATGTTGCCATATTTTTCAAAAGCAATACTTGAAGCTAGAAGTCAATGGAGTACAACCATAAAAGTCAGACTTTTTTTTCAAATCTAGAATTCTATTCCCTGTCACATTAGCAATAAACTTTATAGCTAGATTTAATACTTTCTCAGTCATGCAGGCATCAACAAATTGACTTCACCTTTCCCAGCAGCTAATGAAATAAGTGTTCCCATGGCCTTTCCCCCTGCTCTACCCCTAAACTATGAAAGATAAGACAAGCAAAAAAAAGATAGAAGATCTAAGCATAGGAATGCTACATAAGAGAGAGTCTAAGACAATGCCTAAGATTATGTGGATTAAGATCCCACATGAGTACATAGAATCCATAGAGAGCAATAAATCCAGTTAAAGGAAGTCAGAAACCTCTACAAAATATTTAAATATATGGAAAAGATTTTAAAACTTTAGGAGTATATAGAAATATGTTAGTGATATATATATATATATATATATATATATATATATATATATCTCAGTAATGATTTTGCTTGATATATATATACACATACATAAAGCAAATATATATCAAACAAAATCATTACTTTTAAAAATTATTTTAATCATTTATATATTTATTCAATAAGTATAGTGAATGCCCATTAGAGTTTAGCATACTACAAGGAAAATCATTTTTAGAGCAGTTAAGTTATAATCAATTCTCATTAAAACTTATTGTCAGAATCAAAATACTTCTAATTACTAGCTATATGAGATGGGCCAGTTACATTCTGAGCACCTTTAAAACAAAATTATGAAATGAGGATAATTTCTTTGCTCAGACTATTGTGAAAATTAAAGTAGACCATTTGTTTCCTATTACTTTGATATTCCTATTAGTCACACACCCAGACATGCTATTTAAAGTGAATTTAGTGTATTTTAACTGGTTCTAGGTACAGATGCTCCTTGACTTTTAATGGGGTTCCATTTCCATAAACCCAACATAGTTTGAAAATATCATAAGTCAAAAATGCCTTTAATATACCTAACCAACCGAGCATCATAGCTTAAGTCTTGTCTTCCTTAAATGTGCTCAGAATACTTACATAAGCCTACAGTTGTGCAAAATAATCTAACGCAAAGTTTATTTCGTAATAAGGTGCTGAATAGCTCATGTAATTTTTTTTTTTTTTTTTTTTTTTTTGAGACGGAGTTTCACTCTTGTTGCCCAAGCTGGAGGTCAGTGGTGCGATCCCAGCTCACTGCAACCTCCGCCTTCCAGTTTCAAGAGATTCTCCTGCTTCAATCTCCAAAGTAGCTGGGATTACAGGCACCCACCACCATATCTGGCTACACACACACACACACACACACACATACATATATATATTTTGTATTTTTAGTAGAGACGGGTTTTCACTGTGTTAACCAGTCTGGCTCAAACTCCTGACCTCGTTATCCGCCCTCCTTGGCCTCCCAAAGTGCTGGGATTACAGGCGTGAGCCACCGCGCCCAGCCCTCATGTAATTTTATGGAATACTGTACTGAAAGTGAAAAAAAGAATGGTCATAGGGTACCTGAAGTATGGTTTCTATTGAACACATTTTGCTTTTGTACTATCATAAAGTCAAAAAATCACTAAGTTGAACCATCTGAAGTTGGGGACCATATGTGTAAACATTAAAATTGCTAGCATTATTAAAAACTACAACATTATTGAATTTGCGACATTAAGACATGGACTAAAAAAATACATAATAAAGTTTTTTTAGGCATTTTAAATGTAATTATATTTTAGGCAAATTTTTATGCAATCTTTTTGCTACACACATTTTAAGTAAAGCATATCTTCATACAAGTTTAGAACTTAATTAGAAATTTGAATTGCTTATGAATGTATCATATCTGTAAATTAAATAATATGTATAAAGTTTCTATTGAGAAGAAATAGTGGTGCTTTGCAAATGTTAAAAAAATTACAATCTCATATTGAGCAATCTGGTTCTGAACAACAATTGAGATGAGATTAAAATCAAGGTTGAAACCACTTGTATTAATTAAACAATTCCTGGAAGGCTTGGGGTCAAATGTTGGTTTTGATCTCTGTTAATCTGAGTAGACACCAGACCATATAATAAATGTGACCTACTTGATTTTGCAAACATTAGAGTTCCAACTCTTCATTGCTCAAGATATCATGATTTTTGTTGTGTTTGTTTGATGCTTCTACTCAGTTAAACTTGTAAATAAAAGCTGTGTTACATATTAACAATGAAAGAGAAAGAAAAATATTTGTGTAATTTAACTTAGTTCCTGGGACAATCATCAATTTATCAATTACATCTAAAAATAATCTTAAAATGTTTAAAGACTAGAAATCTTGACCAATAAGTACCTTCTTAGATCCTATGATGACGTTAACAGCATTCATAAAAGCTAACTGCAGGCACACTTTATGCAGAACTGTATTTCCAACAAGCTATATATAAGTCATACTCTATTTTCTCATTGACTACAAAATGAATTCCAAGAGGCTTTATCATCACATGCAATTTATTCTTAGAAGGCTGTCGTTCTTAAGACTCATTTTTGAGTTCTTCTTAAGAACCAGGCAGAGGTCAAGGCCACAAACATTAAAAAAAAAAACAAAATTCTAAGTTATGTAAGCAGAAAAAAGAACTTATTAAAAGGAAATTCGTTAGTGCCCAAAAATGTGGAGGGCTGAAAAACCAAGCACAGAATATGAGCAAGAATGACCAGACACAGTAGTTCACTCCTGTAATTCCAGTATTTTGGGAGGCTGAGGTGGGTGGATCACCTGAGGTCAAGAGTTCAAGACCAGCCTGGTCAAATGGTGAAACCCCGTCTCTGTTAGAAATATAAAAATTAGCTGGGCGTGGCGGCTGGTGCCTGTTATCCTAGCTACTCAGGAGGCTGAGGTAGGAGAATCACTTGAACCCAGGAGGCAGAGGTTGACAGTGAGCCAAGATCACACCACTGCACTCCAGCCTGTGCAACAAGGGCAAAACTCTGTCTCAAAGATAAAATAAAATAGAATATGAGCAAGAGTAAAGAAATTAAGCAGCGAGGCTCTAAACTACTAGCAGAGCTCAGAACTGTTTCATCAAGGGTGACAATGTCACAGCTTCCCCGATGACCTACAAACTGGTTGTTTCTGTTTCTATTGCAAGCTGCCACTACTTCCTTGGTTCAATAGTTTGTGATTCAGTCTAGGGTATTTCAAGAATTAGGTAAATGTACATTCATAGGGACAAAAAAAAAAAAAAGCTATGAAAAAGAACGTCTAGCATTTAGGTCTTCTGTAGTAGAAGACTGTTCTGCATCCCCTCAAGATATTTACAATGGGGTAAAACCAAATTTACTAAAGGAGTTCAGGTACTGGCAAACAAAGGATGACAACTGTTTATGCCATCTTGTTTCTAGCACCTGAGATCAGTAAAGAATGATTTTCAAATTAGCACATACCCAAGAGAGCATAAGAGAACCTTCCATTGCTATCCACTGTAAACTTATTGTCATGTGTATAACCTCATTTTTGTTTATTGCCTTGATTTCTTCAAATTTTTATTTGTTTAATGATAGATATACCTATACACTAACATCAATGCTACAAGAAAGGGAGTTTTGTTTCTACCTTTTGTTGATCTTTCAAGCTGACCACTTACACATGTATATCCCCTCGTAACTAAAACACACATGATATTGACTGCACTACAATTTCTGCCTCTACTCAACCATGTGGTTTCAGTGATAGTGATATTGTTTGGTTCTGTGTACCCACCCCAATTTCATCTCAAATTGTCATCTCCACATGTCGAGGGAGGGACCTAGTGGGAGGTGATTGGATTATGGGGGTGGTTCCCCCCATGCTGTTCTCATGACAGTGAATTTTCATGAGATCTGATGGTCTAAAAATGTTCCACTTGCTCCTTACTCTCTCCTGCTGCCATGTGAGATGTGCCTTTCTTCCATGATTGTAAATTTCCTGAGGCCTCCCCAGCCATTCTTTCTGTACAGCCAGTGGAACTGTGGGTCAATTAAACCTCTTTTATTTGTAAACTACCCAGTCTCAGGTAGTTCTTTATAGCAATGTGAAAATGGACTAATACAGATAGCTTTAGTCTAGTTAATTTACATGATCTTCTCTCCTTACCCAGTGAATTGCTCTCAACAGTTGATCAAAGCCGGGCCAATGATAATTATTGCACAAGATTTGTTTTCTAATAGCATTGCAGGAGAAAAAGTATTTCATTTAAATCTGAGACTCAGGCTCCATCAATGATGACTGTGGATTCTTCCAGTGAAACAGAAACATGCATGCATGAGGTGTGCCCTCCAGAGAAATAGAAAAGTCTTGAGGGCATCCTAATCAATTTGTTCCTCCTCTTCTTACTATTTAGTTTTTAATCATTTCTTCAATTACATGTGATACGCTGATATCTTTCAATGAATTATCTTTCTTGCCAAAACAAGTTCTATCAATTTTTCTGTCATTTGCAATTCAAATTGCTATGGCTAACTTACATTGAATAACACCTCAAAGTACCTGCTTCACTGAAGGATTTGAGGTGGAAAAATCTTACTTCTCCATCTTCCTTTTTCTGTTTGGTGCAAACCTTCTGTTCTACTCCCCAGGTCGGGGTAGTGTTGAGAAAATTCTCCTTCTCTATTTGAGCTATTCAAAGAAAAGAAAAGTAATCTGGTAGGAACATGACAACTTGAACAAGCAATATTAACTGCGGTTATGTCTACTGTTCCTAGAAACATAAAAAAAAATCTTTTTCATTCTCTTGGGATCAGTGTCTTGAATATATAGAAGAATAAAAGGCTCACTCTCCTCTTTCCATATTGGTAGTTGCACAGCAGGTTTAAAACCTATTTTTCTCTTGTTTTCCAGTAGTGACGTGTGTGAGGTTGGCTGAGTTATGGCTCATGGAATCTGTTTTGTGGAATTCACTCTTCTCACAGGTAGGTCAAAAAGAAAAAAAAAATGGTATGGATAAAGAGAACTTCTCCAATTGCATCTGATTGCAGTTGTATTCTCTAATTCAGATTTAAAAGAAAGTCTTCAGATGTGTGAGGACATTAAACCCTCAGTGACAAAGTTTACACCATGATCCTCATTAAGTTCCCTGAATTTTATCTCTAAAGGCTAATGTTTAAGGCCAGGTAGAGAGAGGATTAATTGGCATTTCTGGCAACACAACAATATTAAAAGAGTTATCTATATTATCAGTTTAATATACACTCACAGATATTCAGGATTTTGTCCATGTTTTGATACTTTCTTCTCCTTCAATAGGAATCAAATATTTTTTAATTAATAAGAAAAGAAAAACACTATCTTTTTCCATGTTATATGGAAAAAGCAAACATCATCTATTTTCTATCACTCATCACAGAATCAGCAAATGTTTTCTGATCAGCCACTGTAATGTCAGGTTCTGTGTGCAGTGCTAGGAAACAGATAAAACATATATGCCTGCCCTCAATGTGTTTAGCCTATTAACATAAGCCTATTAACTTTGATCAGAGATTTTTCTCTTTTATCAGAGATTTCTTTTAGGATACAGGGAAAATGTATTATACTTAATTGCTATAAAAATGTCTACTTATAATAGCAAGTATCTTACTATGGGTATAAAACACTGAAATGTCTTTTATGATATATTGATATTATAAAACATATGAGAGCACAGACTGGGCATTTGGCTGATACCTTTTCTCTAGAATATACTGGATAAGTGTCATTGCATGAATTATTTAATCTTTGAAGGCTTTGATCTTCTCATCTATAAAATGGGAGTAGATTTTGTTGTACAGATTAAATAGGCAAGCATATGTCCTGTAAATGTCAATGCAGACACTTATGCTAAGTGAGATCAGATGGAATGTTGGTGATTTTCCACTTAGGCCATGCATTCTGTGAAGTAATAGGATCCTCAAGTGAGTTAAAAATGGTTATTAAGAGCAAAAGCATCTTCCTATTTTGATGGGTAATGCACGAATATGCATATAGTATATAAAAAGATACACAGTTTATCTGTAGTACTCAAATTTCATAGGGGAGGTGATTGAGAAAACAATATTTAAAAAGGCTATTTATGTGGGGTGAATTTAAAATGTTGAGAAGCTGACCTAGGGAATAATCTAGTTTCTTCCTCGAATACTTATAAGACCGTGTGAATATTACTTCTTCTAGGTTCCATTTCTAAGATTTATGAGGGAATTCTTAATCAAGCTTTTCTTATCTACCTTATAGGGTTGTGGTGAAGATCAAATGATAATGTCTATGCAAATATTTTGAAGTATAAAAAGTCCTACACATTATCAGACATCATTATTGACTTTCTCCCTTATTGGGCAAAAATAAAATACAGTTCTTAAACAGAAAATACAATATCTCACTATTTGAGACAACTCATATTCCCAGCTTCTTTACAAACATAGGTGATGCTGGTGACCATTTTGAAATGTGGTTGTTCTACTTGACAGATTTAGGTATGTTATTAAATACACTTTAAAAGAAGACTGCCTATTTCTCAACTTAGGAAAATAGTGTAGGAAGCAACTCTCTTTTCCTTCAAGTACATCAGTTTTTACTTTTCAGGTCCTGTGTCCCATCCTACACTCCTCAAATCACACATATTATCCTTGAATGTCTAATGTAGTCTAGAACTGCTTGATCACCCAGATCATTTTTCTCTATTTCAGTATTATTTCTACTTTTATCTAGTTTGTTTATTCTCCAATCAAAAAAAAGTATTGAAGACCATTATTCGGACTCTGTCCTAGACATTGGATATACAATAGTGACTAGAACAGACAATATTCCTAGCCATATGATGCTAACAATGGTAAATTTTACATTAGTTAGGTGCTCCTGGAAAACAATAAAAATTAAGAAATCCTCTCATCCTTTCGTGTTTTCAGATAGGGCTACTACTATAAGGCACAATCCTGCCCCATATGAACTATGTGTATAAGATTCATGGATGCCCCATTGTTTACCTATGACAGGGCTAGACGCAGGCCCTCCAAATTTCCTTTCGTTCATAAATATTAGCTGAACTGCTTGCCTCCATTGACCAATCTGGACAAAATAACTGCTATTTTGACTTGACCAAATTTTAGCTAGGTTTCTCTCCTTCTTCAAGACCCTGAACTTGAATCCACCTTCAGTCAGAGGCAGCCTACAACCCATCCTTTAGGACCTTCTTGAGAATAGCTGATCTTGGCATAAAAGAGTCTGTCATCTACCATCCTACCAAACAACTCTTTCATCCCACCCTCTGGCATCCATTGAGACTTCTTTACTGTTCCCTGTAAATGGAAAGCCCTTTTCTGACAAACCTTTCAGATCCTTCCAGTTCTCATGGTCAGAGTATTCCCTTCAATGAAATCATTCCCCCAATCTATTGCAGTAGTCTTCTTCTCTCCTATTGCTAATATATGTTTGAGTCTTTCCTACCCTCACTCTGGATTTTCTTTTGACAGTGATTATATACCAATGGATATGAATTATTGTGCATAATATTAAGTTATCCAATATCTAATCCTGAGCATAAAGTTTATCATGTTCTTTTGAAATTTAAGGAAGTTTGTGAGTATCCTCTAGTTTCATTTCTGCTCTCCGTTTCTAACAGGTGACACATGGGCATTTGACCCAGATGGAAAACAATGTAAATTTATTTCAAGGACAATATTATCAGATTGTGATGGCCATTGGGAATCCAGTATTAAGGGTTCCAGCCCAAAATGCATTCTCTGGAAGAAATGATGATCTGACTACCAGTGGTTTTTTTGTTGTTGTTGTTTTGGTTTTTTTTTTTTTTTTGGTTTGGTTGGTTGGTATAGACTCACATGTGATTCATTTATACCATCCTCTATAGACCTCAATCCAGGTTTTTCCCAAATTATTGTATTAATTTCCATGACACGTTCATCTTATTTTTTAATTCCCATTGCCAAAACATATGGACGCTTTCCCCTATTTGACCTATTAGTTGCCTGGAAGCCTACCAGTAAGAATAAATCTCTCTCTCTCTCTTTCTCTCTCTGTCTCTCTCTCTCTCTCTCTCTCTCACACACACACACACACACACACACACACACACACACACACACACACATACACACACAGTTATTCCTCCTAGATTATCTGGATTCTTAGTCTTTGTTTATATGTTTCCTTCATGGTCTTGTTTTTTTGCAAATATAATAGATAAATTTGGCCTATTCTTCTCGGGTCAGGTAAACCCATTAAAGCCAAAAACAAAAACAACTTTTTGACCCACAACACATAACTTTTACTTCCAAGCAGCTATGTTGAAGATCACTTTAATTATCATCAGCTACTAACAACTATGTTATTCTTTTGACCTGAAATTTATAGCTGCTCAAAAACCTTAAGGTGATAACATAAAATGAAAGCAAGTGCCGATTTGAAATATGGAGATTACAAATTGGGAATTTACAGCTGAAATCCACGTCTGTGCTGAAGCCAGTGGAAGTGAAGAAGGGAAATTGTTGTGGTAAAAATGAAAAAGTACAGAAGGGTGATATTTTTACTAATTAGTAAAAGAGCTTAAGTTTGCGTCTGCTTCTTAGTTTTTCCTTTTGCAATTATTTGGAATTTTTCTTTTTTTCAAAGAAAATGAATAATTTAAATATGAAGCAACATTTACAAAAGAGACAGAATGCTTTCATATTCTTGCAACTGTCTGTATGTAAAGATAACCAGGATTCAATAAGTTATAAACACAGATTAAATGAAGGACATGTGAAGATTACCTGGTATCCACTATCTTTTCACTTAATAAAGGTAAGGATTCGTGTTTTACAACTTTGCACTGAAGTACACTTGGCTTTCCCTGAACCTCTTTTTCATTCTGAATATCACATTCCTTCAACATGAAAAATGGAATGACAGCAATAAAACTTTTTCTTTCTGTTTCTGCGATTTGCAGAACATCTGAGAATAGGGAGCCATCTGCTACTATCATGTAAACAGGCCAAAAGGACTGGGCAGAGGAGCACAAGTCTGGTATTGCAGCCACATCTGCTGGCCCAGATCTCAGCTGGGCTCCTGCCCCAGAGGTATGGAGGACCCAGGGACACCAATTCTGGCAAGTATTTTGGGGTCATGCTGGTGTTCTGCAGAACAAGGAACAGCTGTAAGGAGCAGGGGTGATACAGCAGGTTGTGAAATGAGATATGGGCTTATGTCAGAGTCATTAAGCATTTCTGATAAATGGGCTGCAAATTAATTGCTGGTTCTACTAATTAATTCATTTGAGTTGCTGAAATCCTCAGGCCTGGCTGTGGTTGTTAGCAGAGCAGAGTGATACTTCAACATGGAGAGAATTTCTTTCTCCTTCAGCTAAAGAATTTGGATTTGGGCTTAGTCGTTGATGCAGCTTTCCAAAACATATCAACAATAAAAATATTAAATAATTCAAAAATACTTTTAATGCCTAGAAATATTTGAGTAGTGATTTTTGGAATCAGAAGAGTAATCAGAGTGCACATTCTCATAAATTGCTATTGGATGGCCTGTGGAATGTACCAAATGCAAGCAACAGGCCTACATAGAATTATCATAGTTTTAATTGGCTATGTATACACTTCTGCCCTAAAAGGGAAGCTAAGCCATCTAAATGGCAAGATTAGGAGACTGTAACCATATGTTCCCACATACTTCAGAAATAAATTCTGAGGTTTTCGTATATATATGCACACACAAATATGTAGATATATATATCTATATATAAAAATACATACATGTGTATATATGTGCATTATGGATTTGTATGTATATATACACATACATACATACACATAACTTTTTTCTTATTTTAAATGAGAATTCTTTCTTAAGAGGAAAAAATATTTTTCTCCAATATGTGTCAATGTATCTCAATGGCTTGGTATTATATAAAGGAAATTTAAAGCATATATTTTATATACATAATCAAAAATCTCTTATACTTATTTAAAAATAACTATAAAAGCATCTATTTTTAAATAGATGCTTTAAAATATACTTAAATTTTAAAATGTATTTTCTACATTAATTTAAATTTTAATAATTTAATTTAAAATATATTGTCTACTTTTTTTTTTTAATTTGATTAGACAAATAATATATGTACATTTTTGTGACGGGTCTCACTCTTCTGTCACCCAGGCTATAGTGCAGTGAAGCAATATAACTCACTGTTTTTTCTCTAAAAATTGAGTGCAGAAATAGATTCGAAATTGAGAGTCCCTGAACCCTCACCTTTTCATAGAGATAAGCATAGAGATAACCGTAAATTATAGAGATAACCATAAATTATGCTTTCATAGAGATAACCGTAAATTGTTATGCTTTATTAAACAAATGTGGAATTAAAATTTATAGAGTTTTGGAATATGTGCATATTATGTACATGTATACAGCACAAATATATTTATATGTGTTACATACTATGCTTTTCCTTGTGCTCATTTAAGAGTATTTTTAATCATCTTCCCATGTCCATTGATTTAGCTATCTTTTTAATGGCTTTAAAATACTTTTATAGATAACCATGATATTTTAAATTAAAACCCGTAAATGGGCATTCAGATAATTTCCAACTTTTTATTGTCACAAACAATTGTTTCAGCTGGGAGTGGTGGTTCACACCTGTAATCCCACCACTTTGGGAGGCCAAAGTGGGCAGATTGCTTGAACTCAGGAGTTCAAGACCAGACTAAGCAACATAGGGAGACCTCGTCTCTACAAAAAGTATAAAAATTAACCAAACGCAGTGGTAGGCCCCTGTAGTCCCAGTTACTTGGGAGGCTGAGGTGGAAGGATTGCTTGACCCCAGGGGGTGAAGGTTGTGGTTGTGATAAGCAGAGGTCATGCCACGGGACTCTAGCTTGGGCAATAGAGTCAGACACTGTCTGAAAACAAAAAACAATTCTTTGTTGATAATCTTAATACATAACATCTGTATATATGTGTATGCTATTTCTTTTGAATAAATTGCTGAAAGTAGAATGTTCTGCAAACATACATGCACGTAATTTTAATATTCAGTCACCAACTGATACTGTTTTGTTTAACGAGTTAGAACAAAAAGGTGACAGAAGTGATAAAGTGAAAGCAGTTAAAATAGGAAGTAATGATATTTTGTAATAAAATATGCTTGCCATCCATTTTTAATGCTCTTTATTAATTGTGATTAACTTTATCTGAATACTGACTTCCCTTAAAAGTGTGTGTTAATTATTACCTATTGAATAGGCACCATCATTTAAAGGTGGATGTGTGGTATGTAACATAGAGTACCAAAAGAGTGAGCTCAATGTAAAAGTTTTGAATAGTTATTAGGCACATAAATGCAACGATTGGGAAAATTAAGATATCCTGGCCGGGCTCAGTGGCTCATGCCTGTAACCCCAGTACTTTGTGAGGCCTAGATGGGTGGATCACGAGGTCAGGAGATCAAGACCATCCTGGCTAATATGGTGAAACCCCATCTCTATTAAAAATACAAAAAAAATTATCCGGGCATGCTGGCGGGCACCTGTAGTACCAGCTACTAGGTAGGCTGAGGCAGGAGAATGGTGTGAGCCTGGGAGGCAGAGTTTGCAGTGAGCCTAGATTGTGCCACTGCACTCCAGCCTGGGCGACAGAGTGGGACTCCATCTCAAAAGAAAAAAAAAAGATACCCTTCCAACACCTAAATTATTGACCATATTTCCATTGGATTTTAGCTAACAAGAAATAATTGGTTTTTTGTTTGTTTTTTCTTTTTTGAGACAGAGTTTTGCTCTTGTCGCCCAGGCTAGAGTGCAATGGCATGGTCTCAGCTCACTGTAACCTCCATCTCCTAGGTTCAAGCGATTCTCCTGCCTCAGCCTCCTGAGTAGCTGGGATTACAGGTTTGGCTATGTTGGCCAGGCTGGTCTGGAACTCCTGACCTCAAGTGATCCGCCAGCCTCGACCTCCCAAAGTTCTGGGATTATAGGCGTGAATTGCTATGCCTGGCCAAAATGAGTTATTTTAAACAAAAAGTAAATCTAGCTAAACTCACTTCAAAAAACAAACAAAAAACTTTAAAAAGTCTACACTGGCAGATAATTGGTACTGAAATAAGGTGATAGCCTTGCAGGAGAACTAACAATTGTTCTGGGAGAAATGGATACAAACAAGAGTATTTCTGCTTTATTTTATTTTATTTTTTTTGAGATGGAGTCTCGCTCTGTCACCCAGGCTGGAGTGCAGTGGTGTGATCTTAGCTCACTGCAAGCTCCACCTCCCAGGTTCACACCATTCTCCTGCCTCAGCCTCCGGAGTAGCTAGGAATACAGGCACATGCCACCACACCCAGCTAATTTTTTGTATTTTTAGTAGAGACGGGGTTTCACCGTGTTAGCCAGGATGGTCTCGATCTCCTGACCTCGTTATCCGCCTGCCTCGGCCTCCCAAAGTGCTGGGATTACAGGCGTGAGCCACCGCGCCCGGCCTCTGCTTTATTTCTTAACCTGAGTAGTCAATCCATCACTCTCTTATATGTGCATGAAAATGTACCTTTCTGGCTCTTCTCAACTTTGCATAAAATATTTAAAGTATTCAGAAGTCATATCAATAAAATGTAGCTTATGGAAATGTTTTATAATTATGTGTAAGATCAGTACAACCAGACATTTATTTAAGGACATGTATTTAACAGAGGAAAAGGACATCTTTCTGTCTAGCATATCTATGTTTTTTGTCCTTCTTTTGTTCTCCATAGCTAGTTACTGGACACTAGCCATCAAAAAACCAATTGACTAATTATTCACAACTCAGGAGGCATGAATGCTTTTTAGATTTTCAAGATTACTATTCCATTTCCTAATCAAAAGCAGCTGGATGAAATTTTCCCAGGGGACATTAACTCCTAAATTTTCCAAAGTAGCACCTGGAGACTTAAACTAGCCTCTGTATTTTTCAAGCACTGTATTGTTTTGATCTCATCTGTTATTTAAATGATCTAAAACTTTATGCTCTTGTGTTGCAAGTTGATAAATGTGCAAGAATATTCAAAAAAAATAAAAATAAAAAAATGTTGTCCAAAGATCAAATTACTGAAATTCCAGTATATGGTCCCCAGGAAAAGATATTCTTTTCCTAGTGACTCTGCTTATACAACTAAAAGTTTTATTTACCTAATATGTCTCTTGAATTGGGTGCTTAAAAATCTCTTGATGTCACACAAAGTACAATAATTTAGCTACTTTGAAATAATACAAAGCCAGGTTCAAATTTCAGCCCTGTGAATTATTAGTTATATGGCTTTGGGCAAGTTATCATAACCTCTTTGTACTTCAGTTTTGTTCTTTATTATGTTTGGGCCTGTGAAATAAGTTGAAGACAAAAACACTTTTTTTCAATTTAACATGAAAATAATATTCTTAGTTTGGAAATTAACAAATTTGCTTAATGTATCCATTCTATTAAGAAATAGGATTCATCTGGGTCCTAATTTATTTGCAGCATATATAATATATCTCTAGATAAATGATTTTGATGACACATCAAAATCTTCAGTTTTAGTATATTAGAAGAAATATCCAATTTTAAAAACTAGTTTATTTAACATACAGCCTTTCTGAATTCAACTGTTGAATTTGTATTGCCAGGGTTTCCTATTTATAGAGCTAAATATAATGCTTTTACATATAATAATAAAATCCTCAACATTTATTATGCAATTTTATTATCAGACATTCTATGAGTTTCATAATTTACTAACTCACCTTGTGAGGTTAGCTATCATCATGATTCCTGGTTTCCAGATGAGAAAACTGAGAAACAGAAACTTTTTGAAACTTACCCAAGTTTATAGTTAGTGCATGTCAAAGTCATGTTTCATTCTCAGGTGTACTGTTTCCTTAGCATAAGCCTTAGTCATTAGGCTTCTTTGCTCACTTTTACTGAGACTAAAGGAGTTGTATTTTTAGCAAGTTTAAACGTACATCATTGATTATTGGAATCATATTTTCCACTGACTTTTACCTATTTTTTTTTTAGAAATGTCTACTTACGTGTGCTATTTATTCAAATTGAGACACAAATTAAACATTCCCAATTGAGTTACATTATCATAAAT